CGCTGGGGACCTCAGGCCGTAGCGGAGACCGGCTGGGGGTGATTTTCCGTTTTCCTTCCTGCTTGCTTGGGGGCGAGCCTCCCTGTGCCCCGGCTGAGCGCGTTTCCCTCCCTCCCCGGAAGACCTAGCGGCCCCGGAGCTGCGCTGTCAACGCTCTTGTTTCCTCCGGGAACACAAGAAAGGGGGACAGAAAACACGGGGAGACTTTGTAGTTCGCAGTTTCGGGGAGAGGGACTCCAGACAAAAGGTACTGCAGGACAGAGCAAGCGCGGCTGTGACACGCGTGGAGTGTGGCAGCAGGCGTAGCGCTGCTGGTGTTGCATTGCCCTCAGGAATGCTGCCCTGACGTTGGTACTTTGCCCACAGCTGCTTAAAAAGCTTTCTTGCCTCTGTACGCAAGGCGGTGACAAAGCCGGTGGCACTGGTGGTTTGGCTGCTTTGAAATACAGAAGAGTGCTGTGGAGCCCGAATTCAGGACGTCAGACCCGTGGCCTGCAGGTTGAGAATCTCATTAGGCTGACTGCGCATTGTCCCCCTTCCAAAATGATCACTCGCTACAGTAATAGTGTTTTGTAGTGTAAGTTTTTTGGAGGGAACCATCAATTATATTGCTCCACCTCTTCGTGCGTGCTAGTGTTAGTATTTTGTGCCTTTTGAAGTGTTTGGACAGGGAGAACTCTACAGAAAATTATTTTAGCTGTGTTTCTTCACACAGCAATTAGGTAGTGGTTGTTGGGGTTTTTTAAATCCGTTCTTTGGCTGCCATAGGGTGGTGTTTGCAATAGCAGCTTTCTTGTAGTAATTGAAGCAGTGTATTGGCCTAAAGCATTTGCTGTTGAGTGCTTTGTCTTTCTTTTAGCTGAGGAGAGGACTGCTAATTCAGTTTTAAATATGTTAATATGCATCAGCTACCTAAAGTAGTTGGGTTTATACTACTGGCAGAAACTTATATGCTGAGCATTGCTTAGACTTATTCTGAGACATCGTACACCTCCTCCCAGTAGCTTGGAGCTTTACAGTTGCATCTTATAATTTCAGAATATTTATTAAAGTTCCATGGATCTGGCTCAGGATGAGTGTTCCTTTGGAACTGGCGAATTTTACATTTTTATATTGACAAGTGATTTCAGGTTCCTGTGCTTTCAACAGCTGCCTTTGGGATTGAGAGAATAGGACTTGACTGGTATCTTTGTTGCCATCTGTGTTCATCGTGAAAGTATTCTCCAAAGGGAACCCCCTTTGGACAATACAGAAATATAAATAGCAATATAGAAAAGAACTGTCTACTGGTGTCTACTTCAAATAGCATAGCATTTTGTTTCTCTACAGTGTGAACTGTAGAGAAACAAATTAAAATTAAAAGCCTGACCTCTCTACAGTGTGAACTGTAGAGAGGTCAGGCTTTTAATTAAGTGTCTGTATAAATGTTAATTCCATGTATTGCTATTTCCACAGCTCTGAAGAGATCACTTTTGAGTTAAAGATGGCTGCTGATACCTCTGTTGAAATACTTCAAAAAGTTCTGGAGAATGAAATACTTCAGACTACCAAGGTTGTGGAAGAACATCTGGATGCCGAACTGCAGAAGCTGGACCAAATGGACGAAGATGAATTGGAATGCCTTAAACAAAGGAGGCTTGAGGCACTAAAAAAGGCTCAGCAGCAGAAACAAGTAATTACTGTAGTAATGTAGACTCTTGATGTGTACAGTGCAACAAGCTTCTTGGAAATCCTAGGGAAACTGTATGTGTGAACTAAGTGTTTTGGAGTTGTTTGGGGGTGGGTTTGGGTTTTTTTTCCCTTCTTCTTCCTCACCTTCCTGTATTTACTAAATTATGCAGGAAAGCGCATGTCTGCCACGTGTGCATGCTTTGTGTTTTTTAACAGGACGAGAGAAGAACCTCTGTGATTGTTTACAATGAGGATAGGATAAAGAGTCTCGTACAAAGATTTGAGTGAACATTGCTGTCTGGAAGCATAAGCCTTGCAGGCAACGTAATCATAAGCCTTTAGGCTCCTTAAGCTTCTGAATTCTGGAGGTTGTTAGTTATGGCATGTAAGTGATGCATGCTCTTCTTTTAAGTTATTTTGTAGAAGAATGATACGGGGTCTTTCCTTGTTCCTAGGGTGGAATCATTTGTCCCGCTCCTTCTAACCCAATGAAATGCCTTTGTGCTCGTTTCTTCTTGCAAGAAAGGAATTATTCTTTGGTCTCCAATACCTCAAGCTAAATTGTGGTCTTTATGCACCCCAGAAAGTCTCTTTGAAAGTAGTTCTCAGCAACATTTTAGTAACATGGTGTGAGACCTGAATTGTAAATAGGGAAGTCATAGGTTTCTTAGCTTATGCCATCTAAGCAAACCTAAACAAAGAAATAGACTGGGTTGCAGGGGAGGTGACTGGGTTGACAGGAGATGCTCTGGCTGTGGTGGAACCCATAAAAGCCAATGCCATGTTTTGAAACGGGAATGCAGTAAAACAGCATGGCATGGTTGGGATGCTGGAGAACAGGCAGCGTTAGCAGCTTTGATTCCTAAACATGGAAGTAGAGAAAGTGTCACGCTATTTCCTTGTCTTCAGAAGTTTGGTTTGTGTTTGATTCTAGTGTTTTTCCTTTTTCAGAAGTCATAACACTCGGATGTTCTTGGATGTGAACGTGTGCTAGTTCTCATGCGATAACTTGTTCGTGTCACTTCATCTTAAGTCGCTGTTCTCATGCATTTTCAAATACAAATTTGAAGTAGGATTCTACTTAGTAAAAGGAGTAAGCCTCCACACTATTCTGGAACAGGAGTGTGCAGAGGGGAATTAACGCGTACCCACTGTTGAAGGATAAGTCAGTTCTTGATTTGCATCAAGATTACTTCTTCATGTGCTCATACTTCTATGCATTATTAATGCATACAATGTTCAGGAAATTCTTTGTTCTATTCTAATACAGCTTACAGGATATTTTTGGTTTGCTTGGAAACCTTCCCTCCCCATCCCCCAGTCTGCTAAGACAAAACTGCAAGATCAAGAACAGTGATTTATCTAAATTTTTGTTTTCTCCCACTGGAAACTAAAGTGTTTTGTCAGGTTCTGTCATACTGCACTACTTCTAATAATTTAGCTTAGTCTGCACTTGTTTTAATATACTACAATTAACTTTCAGTATTGTACAAGCTGGGGCTTTTTCTTAAGTGCATTTGTTGAAAGTCTAGAAGATTAGCTTTTTCAAAACTGTATTTGCACACTATTTCTCCATACGTTTTGTCACTAATGGTATGTGTGTGTTTCTGAATGGTTTTCTGGAAGCCTGGCTCATACTAGGCTATCTTCAGTGTATATTTGATAAATATCACCCATTGCAGGTTAGTCAGTAGGCTTTTTTTTCACTGATCTTTTCATAGAGGGAAAAATTAGAAGAAATCCATTTTAGTATGTGTATGACTCAAGTATGACTTGAGTCAGTTTTAGACAAGAGTTCTCTGAGTGTACAAAAACATTTTAGAGAGAGTAGCCCAAGCTGTCAATTAGCAGTTTTCAAATGCTGAGAATTTTCTTGTCGTTGGTGTTCTCTTTGGACTAGTCTAGTTTTACTGGGAGGCTGTACTGCAGAAATTTATGCAGCTCTGAGATTTGTATTTCCAAATAAGTAAGGTAGCTTTACTGCTCAGCCACCTATTTGTTGTTGAGAAAGAGGTAACCCAAAAGTATTGTCTAGCCTAGCGGCATTTGCATATTTTCAAAACAGAACTAAAGGGGGGGGAGTAATTTTTTTTCTCCTTCTATTACCATATGAAATGGGTTTCCACTACAGGCCCCCTCTTTTACATTTCTTCAAAGCTGTAGAGCTTGCATGACAGCTGCAGGACTAACAGACTCCATACTAATTACTTCCTTTTATGTTTTTCAAAAGGAGTGGCTTTCGAAAGGACATGGAGAATACAGAGAAATCCCAAGTGAGAGAGACTTTTTTCAGGAAGTCAAAGAAAGTAAAAACGTGGTTTGCCATTTCTATAGAGATACAACTTTCAGGTATAGTAAATAAGCTACGCGCAAGAAACCTTTTGTTTATAGATGTCTACAAAACCAGACATGTTCTTTTGTTCTTTCAAATCACACAAATAAATAGGCATTTATAGAAGTATTCAGATTCCTTCATTTTCCAAATCTTGCTCCCTTCTCAAGACATCTGATTCTTTTTAATGTTTTTCTCATTCCAGTTAATCAGTTCATGATTTGACAATGATTAATACTCTGTTACGCAGCTGATTAGAATATAAATGTATCACTTCTTTGACAATATTTGAGAGAGTGCTGTGTTTCATCATTTAGAGGGAGCCAGGTCTGTAAATGTAGTAACTGTACAGGAGCAACGTTTCAAACAGATTACTCTGGTTATTCTAGACAGAGATATTCTGGACAGTGCTGGCAAACAAAAATATAAACAAAAACTTGTCCAGGCATCTTCAGAATTTAACCTTTTACTATGAAAGGATCTATGAATACCAGCTACAGCTGCTTTTCCTTTGTGCCTGTGCCTTTGTGACTATGTCACTTTTTTAGGGTGAGGAGAGACCTGTATCTGAGAATATGTCCTGACTCAGAATAGGAACCTAAAATAAGATCTGTCAGTTCCTTGGAAGAATTTCAGAAGTTCTGGATTGTAGGCTCTTCCTCAGTGGGTCTGTCTCAATGTCTTCTGTTAAAATGCAGTTGCGAAGTAGAGTAGTTTGTTGAAGGAGGAGCCAGTTGTCCTGGTTTTGGTTGGTTATTTTGGTTTTTTTAACACCCAAGGTGTTCTGTTCTCTCTAGCTTATAGAATATAAACTGAAACAGCCTCAATGTGAGAAATTGAAAGAGATCAAAGCTGGATTATGCAGTGGGTATCTGTCCCCTCCATTTTCTAAGTTAAATGCTTAAGTTTCAGAAATATCTGAAGCAGTTGGCTAGCTTTTACTCAAAGAAGTTGAAAGACTGTCTCTGCAAATAAAGTAGCTTAGAACAGGTTTGAGTTGTTTGGTTCTTGTTTCTTGAACCAACAAAATCTGTAGACTCAGAGAGGAGAAAGAACTTTAGAGAAAGTAAACTGTAAAGTGTATTGTGCTGACAACCAGCTTCAAGCTTGTATGTCAGGTTTACCAACTACAATATCAAGTTGCTTTCATCCTTGCCCACTCTAGCTTTTTGATCTGCTCAGCTTTATTGAGTTAAAGGACAGACACATCACAGAGTACATGCATCTAAGCCAAACCACTTAAAGAAGGCAATCCAGAAAGTTGAGATTGCAGATGACAAGTCCACAAATCTCTGCCATTTGACAAGTATTTTGAGCAGCTCATGTTACTGTCCCTTAGCTGAGAAATAATAATTGTATGCTTGTTCCTATTCCATTGCAACAGAAAAGTGCAATAGCACTACTGAAGCAGTCTGTGCAAATCATTTCCCTGCCCCAGTACAGTGAGTTGCTGCATCTCGGTTGTGGAGGTAGTGACTGGGAAAAAAAAAACACCCACTGTAACGTGCTGCAAGTACTTCTCTGAAGGTGTGAAGTTTGTTACAGAGAAATTTTTCCAGCTGATAGGCAGTGAATCTAGAGCAGGAAGAATAGAATCCAGAGGGAAATTTTATCAATACATGCAGGCCTCAAGAAATGAGAGAGGCTTTCAGGTGTATGTGAGAGTAAATAGGAAGAAATAAGAGAAATGCATGGTATAATTGTGCAATAAAGGTGCTCCAGACTGTTATTCTATTAGTCATTAATTCCAGCTACCTTTGAAACACAGTTTCTCTTTAAACTAAATTCTTAATTACAAATGTCATATCTGAGGAATTAACATGGTAGAACTAGCTCTTTACTGTTCCTTTTGAACTTTCTCTAAAATACATGTTCTTCAACTTATTGATTTATATTTTGGGGTTTTTTTCACAGGTGCCAAATAATGGACAAACATTTGACTGTATTGGCAAAAAAGCATATTGAGACAAAATTCTTGAAATTAAATGCTGAAAAATCTCCTTTCTTGTGTGAGAGACTGCGCATCAAAGTAATTCCCACTCTAGCACTAGTAAAAGATGGAAAAACACAAGACTATGTTGTGGGCTTTACTGATCTCGGTAACACTGATGACTTCACTACAGAGGCCTTAGAATGGAGATTAGGCTGTGCAGATGTAATTAATTACAGGTAATGAATTGTTTTATGGTTGCTTTATTTTCAGATACAGTGCAAGGAGAACATGCTTGCAGACAGGATAATCTGTAAAAGTTTGTAATTTATGTATGCTTAAAACAAGTGAGTTTAACCCAGTTATTTAATCTGTGTACTTTGGCAAGGGAAGAAGACATTAGAATGAGCGTTACATTGTCCTTTTTTGATAAAAATAAACAGTTCTTGCCATGACGTGTGTAGAGTAGCTACGCTGCTCTGATATGGCCTCTCAGAGTCATGCATCTACTGTAATCCTTTCTAAATCAGCTCTAGTTGCTTAAATGTCACAGTTGCAATGCAGTAAAGTTTGAGCATTTTTAATCCACTTCACAGAAAACTGGGCAAGTTATCCTTAAACTGCATCTTAGTCCATATTACATACATGAATACGTTTGGGTTTTTTTTTCCCCAATGAACAGTGCAGAAAGTGAAAATAAGTTGCAGAAGTATAAATACATTATTTGTGTAGCAGTACAACATAATCATCATAGATCACACATTTAAGACTACAGGATAGAAGGCAATAGAAGACAACCACAATACCCTAACTTTACAGGAATCACACATTTAAGACTACAGGATAGAAGACAACCACAATACCCTAACTTTACAGGAGAATCATTTACCAGAACTTTCTGCTTTGCTTCTCAGTGTGGCTGGCTAAAACATCATCTTTATCTTTTTGGGTTAATTTTGCTCTTTTTTTTTTTTTTTTTTAATGCCTTTGGCTTTTTTATTTTAAACTTCAATATCTGAATTTATTTCAGTGTCTAATTACCAAATTGTGGCAAGAAGTATTGTTATATCTTAAAGGCAAAGAAACTACTGCTCAATTTAGCTTAGTAGGTGTTGAACTTCAGATGAAATGACTGAAGTGGAAATTTGTAGTTCAAAACAAGTGCTAATACCCACTTCCCTGTTCAGTAACAAGCAAATACACAGAGGAGCAAAAGGCAGCTTGGTTATATATTCTAGACAGCAACAGCCTTTTATGGGAGAAACCTTTCAGTGGAGTTGTACCAAGCTGCATTGAATTTGCTAAATGTTAGTACATTGGCTTACGGCAGAATTTTAGTTCCTACTTGGCTCTGCTAGTGCTGTGTATTCTGCTCTTAGCTTCCTGTGGAGTGGGGAAGTTGTTCCATTCTTTGTTCATTTTGCCAGATCCTGAGATTGGTACGCTGGCTTTGCAAAGTGGGCCACGGTAGCTGCATTGCCCAGGAGATCCATTCCAGGAGACATCCATTTGTGTACAAATGTTGCATTTCCACACTGCTCTGAATGTAATGTCTCACTCTCTGGAGTTCCTGAAAAGGAGATAGTCCTCCTCAGAGCCTAGAAACAGTTCTTTTCCTTGAACCTGTGGGATAGCAGATGGTGAAAGGATATACTGTATTTAGGGGAAAAACTGTTCAGGTCACATTGCTTGACCGAAATCGGGATTTGAGTGGGGTATTGACTTATTACTGTCATGTAATTAACTAGCAATCAGTGAACTGTACATTTAAGATCAATATCAGCAAAATGTTGTTTACAGAATCTTAATACCTACAAATTTCTAAACACTCTTCTATAACTAGTTCCAGAAGGTTCTAATTGCTCACTCGCTCACTGACACTTGGATGCAAACCCCTCACAGGTCATGTGAGTGAAAGCACGCACACCATTTTCTGAGCAAGGGGAGGGGATTCCCCTCCTTGCTCACCCCCAATGTAGGAGATGTGGGCGCTCCAGCTTTATGCGAGCACCTGCTGTTCCCAACAACACGTGGACCCACATACTGGTGAGAAAGCCCCCGCAGGGGTCATAGATGGACACTGAGGCTTGAGTCTCTCCATGCTCCCCTAACTGGAGCGTAGCGTCCAATGGGGAAGCTGCTCTGTCTGGCCTAGGCGGAGACAATATGAGGTGACTTCTGGCAATACAAAACCCAGTTTTGACTTGTCTGTTTCTACTCCAAAGTCCCTGTTACAAAATTTTAGCTTCTTTTGTACTTCCGGCTCCTCATTTGTTTTGAAAAGTCCATCTGTAATTCCCTGGTTACTGTTTAATCTGACAGAAGGCTGTCTTTAGCATGATCAGTTTGCACCAAAAGCCCTTTCAGACAGTTTTTGTCTAGAGCTCTGCTCACAGGTGCTGTTTACGCTTGCAATTCTGTCTTAACTACAGTTATGCAGGCCATTTTGTCCAGGATGTGCTGTGCTAGCAACACCGCAATGCTACTTAGGGTGGCTTTAGGGAGTAGGGGTTGTGTTCTCTTGCAATGTTTTCCTGGAAAAACAGGTAGTTAGAGATGCTCCTTACTGTCCGCATGAATACGGCTTTAATCAATGTCTTCTTTTCCTCTAGTGGAAACTTAATGGACCCACCTTTTCAAAGTCAAAAGAAATTTGGAACAAGCTTTACCAAGTTGGATAAGAAGACCATCAGAGGAAAGAAATATGATTCAGATTCTGATGATGACTAGAGGAACAGCTAAATGTATTTGTAAATCATCTTTTGTTTATGCTTGGTACATTTCTAAGAATGTTTTTTACAAAGCTTACTGCTTTTCATTACATCTGCACATAATGCTCATTTTTCTATACAGTTTTATACAACTGAGTCATAGCAGAAAAAAGCTTAAATATTTTTTTTTCCTCTTTTGGAAGTCATTTGTAATTAAAAATCCTGAGTCCTAAATAATGTGACAAATCATGAACTTTGTCTTAAGTGTAAGTATATGAAATGTTTTGAAGTAACTGTTAGAAACAACTGTACCAAGTCACACCAAAGGTCCCTCTGGCCCAGCATCCAGTCTCAGTGGGCCAAAAGCAGATGCACAAGGAAGAGTGAAACAGGGTAAGCAGATAGCAGTGCTTCCCCAGAATATACTTCAAGCAATCTGTGGCTTAGGGAATTCTGTATCTGCGAGCATTTGTTGGTTAAAATCATGGAAGAAAAAAAAAATCTCTTTAAATCCTCACAGTGTCCTAGCATCCACATCATATGATAAGGAGTCCACAGTTTAGCTGTGTTGTGTGAAGACCTACTTCCTATTGTTTTCCTTGAATCTGACAGTTCCAGGTTTTTTTCTAATTTTCATTATTAAAGGAGATGATAGATGCCTTTTTAAAAGATTTTTCCCTATCAGTTCCTCTTCCAGTTGTCTCTTTAAATTTATTATTAATTATATAATCAGTAAAGCACCACAAAATGAGTAAAGGAATTGTGCATTTTAAGAAATGAGTGCTTGTCTTATGGTGCCATATCATGACATTGAATAACCTAACCTACGTTGCACTGTAAGTTATAAAAACAGTTGTAACTTCTATGAATTCTGAAATAGATGGTCTAGAAAAATGCCCTTTTACCATCTATGTACACTGCATGTTAAAGCTGATACAGCGGGTAATAGCACATAGCAACAAGCATACTGAAAACAGCCTTGTTCACAGGTTTGTATAATTCTGTGGTTTTGAATGTGTGGATTTTATAGCAGATGCTTTGTACAAGAGAGTAGAATAGAGAAAAGTATTTGGGAGGAACCTTGATCTGTTAAATTTAGATCTAGTGCCGCATACTGTGTACTGTTCTTCAGTAATGGACAGAATTTTCAAGGAAGATCTTCCTTGGCACACAATGTAAAATTTCTGGCTAGTTGATGAGTTTTCTTTCTGTTTTTTAAAAAAAAAAAAAAAAAGTTTGCTGTGTTCTGAAGGACCCTTTTGAGGTGGTACTTTGAATCCAGTTGGCCCAAAAAGCAGTGAAGTGGATCTAGTCAGTCTTGCTGCCTTGTAGTGGAGAACACTTGTGATTGGGCCAGCCCAGCAATATATCTCTGTAAGTAAGTTTAAAAAATCAGACTTTATTTCTGTTCATGTACATTGAAATAAAATTATTTTAATTCTAATGGTGACTTTTGCATCTTTTCAAATAAGGTGGTTGAGGTGCTGTGGGTTATTTTTTTTCTTTTAATAAGGTCCATCAGAAAGTTGCATGCTCTTTCTAGATTTCTAGCAAACTACATATAGTTCTGTCTTACGACATCGCTTTGAGAAGGCAATCAGCTTAAGATGTACACAGCTGCCCGTTAATCCCCTAGAAGCATAAAGCAGACTTGCTTTGAGTTGATCTCCTTTTTAATGCACAAACTCTCTAAATGCACTAGAAAGGGCTTCCCCCCCATCCAGTTGCAAGAGTTTTAATTTAGGAAACCAATGTTCCAACAGTATTTTTAAGAGTGCCTTAGCAAGACTCATCTCTAAGTCCTAATTATGTTGAATAGGCTGTGGAAATATAAAATCATGTCTAGTGTAGTTGCGTGCTGTGTGGAAATAGATGTGGGCTTGTCAGGATTCCAGCATAGTGCGTCGTTACAGTTCCATGTGTGAATAGCCCCATTACAAACTCGGTGTAAATGCTAGTCAGAGTCTGTGGTTTCATGTCACTTTAAGCTGCTGATTTTTTTTTTCTAGGTTAATCTTCAGCTGGACCTCTTCCTTCATCTGGCTTGGAATATGGCCACACGCACTCCAGTGCGTATTTCTCCATGATAAAAGGGGCTTGCAGGAATGTGTGGTTTGGGTAAAAGGGGAAGTTGAGACTGTTTGTACTAATAAGTTTAAATTTATTTTGAAGTGGCAGCCTCATAGATCTGCCTGCTTCGAGTCTTTACTTTCATGTCTGCTTTCTGCATTTTCTGTCCCGAATGAAGATTAAATCTGTCTTTGAACGGTCCTCTTAGTAAGATGTCCATTCCTGATCTGCATATTACTTCGAGATGAACAGTCCAAATCCAAGCATTTTATTTAGGCTGAAACTTAAAAATTCTTGAAGAACTGGAAAATTCTTCTAGTTTGAGCGAGGAACAAATTATTCTTCTATGGTAGAGCTCAGTGATTTTGCAGTGCAAGTTAAATAATGAAGTGTCCATGATAATAAGACCTGGGTCAGCAGGCTAGAAGCGTAGGCAATTTGGAGAATGCCAGCTCAGACAAATGTCAGCTGTAGAGACTTGGGAAGCTCAAAGCTGAACTTTGTCAGTAGCGATCTAGTGGCAATATGGCTGATAGATGAGAAGATGATGACAACGATACACAATATCTAGAAAGGACGCAGGTTGCATGTGATTAATTGCTTACAGCAGATAGACCGTATGTGTAAGGACATGACTAAGGTTCCTGAGCCTTACATCACAAAATGGTACCTGGTCTGGCATGTGTTAGCCATGAAAGGGTATTATACAATAAGGAGATGAGAAATGTTCACGTAGAGCTTTTGAAGTTATGGGGCTTATGCATGAACTCAGCATGTAACTTCGGTAATGATTAGTGCTTAAGCCTATGCTTGATGCTTGCATGAAGTAATCGTAAAATAAATGGAGGCAATAATAACCGAACAAGATCTGTGTTGTTCGGCTCTTAACTCCAGGTTATTTGGATTTGACTGGGCACCCTTTGATTGCTGATTGATCCCACATTATGCTTGCGATGGTCTGCTCAAGACATCTACCTGGAAGTTAGGTGCTGAGTTGAGCTTTGGGATTTGGGAAGCATGAAGAAGTCTGGTCCCTGGAAGAGATGGGAAGAGAAACAAACTCTGGAGAGGACAACAACTGAGCAGCTGCTCTCAGACTCCATTAGTAGGTTGGATTGCCTGCAAGTGCAATAGGGGTCATTGCGGGAGGCAGACTCAAAAGAGGAATTGGTGCCTTCCAGTCCTCGGTTCCAAGTAATCCACATTGTGCTATTTCCTGTCTAGAAATTTGAAAAGGAATACTTCTCTACAGAAATTTCTGTAGAAAATTTGGGCATTGAACAATAGTTTCTAAACCAAACCCTTTGATTTCCAGGTAAGAGTAAAGCCAGTGTCCTCAACCCAGTGTGACGGATACTGTCGTTTTGTCTCTCACATGCACACAAACAAGCACCAGCTGATGCAGAAATAATACGGCTTTTGTACTCATTGCATATTCAATAGCTGTGTATTCCACTTTTTAAAAGGAAAATTTTGTCAGTCGTGGGTTGATCCATCTGTCTCTTTAGAACAGCTGTATACGACAGTTCAAGAGTGAGGGTTACACTGCAGAGTTTAAGGAAAGCCTCTCTCTAGGAACTGGTGGAAGTGGAGGGTGCTTGATGTTACAGTAGACTATTTTGGAACTGTTGTGAGGGGATGTTGCCCCTGAGCCCTCTTCAAAGGATAAATAGATTGATAGGTTCCATCACATTTGAGTAAATTACTGCTCTGAAGGTCTGCTCTGATCTTCTGTTCTTGGATCATGCTTTGGAGCCTTCAGTGTTAAGCCTGTCTGATACGATTGCGGTGATCCAAGACATTCCAGTCTCCCAGATGCTCCTTGTCATCCATCCTCCTTGGAGAGCACCATTCTGTCGTCCACTGCAAAAGGTAACATATGCCCACACCTTCATCAATTTAAGCCAACACATCAAACTAGCTAAAGTAGTACATAAGAGATCAAATCATCACCCAAAAAAATCTTGTTCAAATTTGGTGGATTAATTTTAAGTGTATGAGAGGTTTTTGATGCTTGTTGATGGAAAGGGAGTAGTTAAAAAAACTTGCTTTTAGAGATCCCACAAGGTGCATATGTTCTAATGCTATGGGGTTTTGGATTAGCTATTACAGCCATGGCTTGAGCTGCCTAAAATAAACTGCCACTGATGCAGGAGCCGTGTATTTGTGTCAGCTCAGTGTTGAATCTGTGTTAATATACTTGCTTTTTTGAACACAACCTGTTCAGACATCATCTGCCTGGTGGTGTGATTTCAATGTGTGACTTACAAAAAAGGTTTAAAAATTAACTTCTCTGCTTCACAAACCACACAATCTCCAGTAACCATTGGCTTTTCCCAAGATGACATTCCATGAAAATCAGGTGACTGTAATACACAAAACCACATCAATTCCTATCCTGATCATCTTCCTCCTGGCTAATTATTTCTTTTGTTAGTGTGCTGCCCTGGAAAAAAGTCTGAAATTGTTTCCTGTTTGGTTTCTAAGATGTTGTCAGTCCTCAATGCTTTGTATCATGAATTCCAGGCACACAGAAATGCTCTTAATGGTTATCATGATTAATGGGTAAAGTTAATAATTATTAATGGGTGTTAGTTTGACATCTCTGAGTCACGAATGTCCTATCCTCATTTTGTGTGTGTGAAACTAAAACAAACCTAGCTCTGCTGAAGGACCTAGGAACATCAAGAATGAGGTGCTCCAGTATCTCATTTCAGGCTCTTCCTGGAATCCAGATTTTGGGATTAGGTGTGTCAGTTTCCTCTCCAACGGGCGATGCCCCAGGGCAGGATCCAAGGCGTACAGAAGGCTGATGAGCGCTGCCAAGGTGAGCAACTGCAAAATATTTTACCCAAGTGTGGCATTCCTCTCCACCCTCACTTCTGGAGCGTTGTACAGTGCAGCGTCAGGCTTGGGGGACTGGAAAGAGGGAGCAAGAGAAAATGCAACTTTGTAGCTTATGGCTTGGAGAAGAGATGGGGTTCTCCTCCCTACTCCCAGTGCTTTGAGTATTTTCCACTCTTACTACAAAATATTAAGTTTTCCTTCCCCCCCCCCTTTCAATATGAAACACCAAGGCAGTCTCAGGAGCATGAAACTGATGCAATCACGTCCCTTCAGGGGCCCTAGGGCCATTCTCTTGTCTTCCCAGCAACTTCCCCTGTGGCTCTGGTGCTCTCTGCTGTGCAGTAGCACAACCTGCACAGGCAGAAGAATGAACACACACGTGGCCAGTCTTGGTGAGGGGTGTAAGCGCTTTCCACAAAAGGGGGGTTAGTGTAGGTGTCTGCCTTCGTGAGGTTATCTTCTAAGATCGGTCTTGCTTCTGCCATGGCTGGTTTAAACAAAGTGGGCATCGCAGCCACTTTTGGTGAGTAAATGCATGCATGCGTGCTGCAAACTCCCACTCACCCAGAGATTTTGGCATTGGGACGCAGAGTCCAGAACCAGACTTCAGGATATAAGGACCACAAGCTCCTCTGGGTGGGCCACTTTAGGCTCAAACAGGAGCGGATGTACATCACAGCCAAGTACTTGGGACACAGTTTTGGAGCATGACAGTGTTTTGATTCATGCTTTACGAGGATAAACCCTCTCCTGGCTCGAACTTCAAATGACTTGCTTTACGTGATAGATCTGTCTTTAAGCTGGGGTATGAACTGAGGTCTCATAAGATCTAGCCCAGTGACCTCTTTGCTAGAACACCTTCCTACAGTAAAATTCAAAGCCTGGTTTTAAACAACAGAAGGAATCTACTTTTTTCCTCCCTCATAAACACTTCTGGCCTTAGTTAGGTTACATGATGGCTAGCGAGATGCTTTGTGCAGAGTGGACTGTCATTCCAATGCCCACCTGCGTTCTTCAGAAAGGAAGAGATTGGGGCCCTCAGCACCCGTTCACTTCTGGACACAGCGAAAACTGAGAGCCTCGCGTCTCATGAGCTTGAAGACCTTCACTATCATTGCTTACAGGTACACTAGACGTAGAAAAGAAGACCTATGGAAATGTAATTATTAAACTGGCTGTATCCCTTTAAAAGTTGGGAAAGACGTCTCTGGAGGGTTGGTTTGAGATGATGCTACAGGTGCATCTTTAACTGGCCAGTTAGTGGTAGGCATCCAACGTGAGTCGGCTGTTGTGGGCAGCTTCCCTATAAAGCAGTTGCAAAGTCTGTGAATACCCGGTGTTACCTATAATTACATCCCAGACAAAAAGAGCAACCTGGGAAACGCATCTGCCTGCTGATGTTATGAAACCAGAGCTGAATCTCACAGCAGAGACAGTAATTAGCATGGGTATTGTTCCAGGTGATTTTAGATAGTATTCTCACCACCCAGTGAAACGTGATGCTATAACCTGCAACAGGAAAGAGAATAGCGTGTGCAATATATAATGCTTTTCAAAATTATGCTCCATTGTGATCATATCTCCATTAAGTGGAATGGAAAAACAAAACAACTCACTTGGTAGACCACTTGGCATGAGGAAAAAAAAATATAAAGCGAAAATCTACGAGTAGGAAAGAACTGGTGGTATTGAACCTTGGTGTGCTTTAGATCTCAGGCGTGCTCCTTTCTGGCATATGTAAAACACGTGGAAAATGCTATTCTGTCAGGTAGCATTTTTTTTCCACTCTGTACCCCCTTTAGCTCAGTGTAACTGACAGTGCCAGCAAAAGACCATGGGAACACCGTGTCTGTGGTCACCAACTGCAGCTTTTTGCCAGGATGCCCCTGTGAATACCGGGAAGCTTTCCTGCTTCTTAAGTTTAAGAACATGCAGGTATCATTTGATAAGTGAACTTCTCTCCTTTCCTTGACTTTCTATCCCCTCCCTCCCAATCACACACTGTGCTGACCAAGATCCAGTACAAGGGAAACGTACTGGCATCCTTTGTGTTTAAAAATTACACAACAGCAAAAGGAGTTTAAAATTATAGGGATGGGGTTTTTTTAAAAAGAATTATAATATTTGTGTCCTTTTTCTTTCATACTAATTTTATAATGACATCATATTTCCATGGCTTTCATATGTTTTCCCTACTACGAAGCATGAGGGCTAGCAACTTGCTGTCCTTCTAAATGAGAGTCTCGGAATATGATACTAATCCAAAAACCTGTGCTTCTAAACAAAATACCGAGAATAATAAAGAAAACTATAAAAAGAGGTATGGTAGTGTTATGAGGGAAAGTAACACTTCTCAGGGACATCAGTCCAGCGCATTCCTGGATATCCCTTTATGAAGTCCAGCCATTTAGAAAGAGCTGGTTTAGTCATAGACACAAAGATATCTTCGACCTCATCCCCTCTTCAGCCTACCAAAAGTTGCTGCTTTTCGTCTGACAGCTGTGAACATCCCTTTGGTCGGGTTATGGGCTGTCAGAGGTAGTCCCTACCTGACTCTTCACATCATTTTCCAGATTAAACCTAGCATAAAAAGGAAAAATTGTGCCGTACTAGTGACAGATGCAGCCCACTCCCAGGTAGTGGTTCGCCTGCATTCGGCGCTCTGGGTTTAGAGCCCCACAAAGACCTTTGAGCAGAAGATGGTGTCTTCTAACATCTTGCAGGCCCCTTTACCTGGCAGTGCCTCAGACAAGCGTGCCGGCTCAGAGCCCTGCCCCATTCAACCTCTGTGGGCTCAACCTTGTTTCCACAGAGGCTGCCCGCTTTCGGCATTCACTTTAAAACGCAGTCGGCAAATTTTGTGAGGATAAAGAGGTTTTTAGCAAGAAAACGTCCCATTCATAACGCTGCTGAAAAAATATCCTCTTCTTTGGCCTTATACTGGGAATTGTGCAAATACAAGGAATCTGCCCTGGGACCTAGGAGCATACAGCGGCACAGATAAAAATAATTGTATTTAAAACATAACATGCACCATTCAATGAGTAAATAAAGAGCAATGCAGAGCAGGCATTAAGAATTCATGTGGTAGTATTGTGAAATGTAGAAAATCTGTGATTACATGGGTAATAAATGAGAGAGAAAATACATAGCAAAGACAAATAGTATTTAAATTCAAAATTTATCTTAAGGACCGTCAGCAAGTGGCTAACATATTAGGAAAGACATCTTACTTAAGGTCAGAGGCTACTTTTCAAAAAAAGGTACCAAGTCACCAGCATGAGCACAGGTTCAGTGACAGAGGAATGCTAGTTTGTTATCACTAACATGATACTCTTTTTATAAAAGGTAACTGGATTTTAATACTGCATTATTTCCACCTATTTTAGAGAACACATCTCTTCTAACACAGATCATCTTGTTCTATAGAAGGCAAAGGAATATAGCTACTGGGTTTGTTGCCATCAAGCTGTGCACTCAGACCTTTTCCCAGGTCATTTCTTCCGGCTTTCCTCTCCCCCAGCATTTCTTCAGTCACTATTTCCTTTTGAAAGGATTAAAGCCACACTGTACATGTGATGTCTCTATTTTCTACATGTTATTTCCAAAGATACCACATAGATTCTTACCTTAAATTATGTCAAACATTACCTTTTGCTATTTAAAATGTTAAACCCCAGTAAAAGAATTAAGTGACAGTCCAGTGTGAGGTACCACAATATCAGGTTTGCACATGATGAATGAATGCCTAGCCTTGTTGTAATCTTTGGGAAGATGACTATTGTTTCCATGTTTCACCCAAATAAATGAGTTTCATGCTTAAGATTCACCTTAACTCACATCCCAGCCCTCCCGTAACAACAGGGCTAGGTTCTCCAGTGAAGCTTCCCTCCTTCATACTAACTCAGGATCTAAGTCCATGATAGTCGTGTTTATTGATTTTTAAGGTGACAAGGCCCACTGGATCATCTCCTGTGCTTTACAGATTAATAGCGATTGCTTGGTTTTGAGCCCAGTAGTGTCTGGCCAAAAAAGTGTTTCCTACCTGCCACATCTCAAGCCCAAAAGAGAGCAATGGGAATAGATGGATTTGTGATGTATTAAATAATGAAGAGAAAGCTACTCAAAGAAAATCTTGCTTTTCTAGCCTCCACGCATGCTGGGCAGAGTCTTGGGAAAAGAAAAATGTGGGGAAGGGGACAGGATCAAAGGGCACTGGCCTCCCAGATTGCCTTTCCATCTCCGAGTGACTGAGATGTCTTACATACATGAAAACTGTCTCGGCCACAAGGCGCAAGTCTTTCAGAGACCCCCTGTGTGACCCCACCAGCTTCAGCTGCTGAAAGACTGGTTCCCTTCCTTCTCATTTCAGCTGCAGCGCCCTGCCTCCCCAAATCTGAAGGTCAAACCTGCCTCTGCTCTCAAAGTATTCAAGTCTCTCTCCTGAATTAGGCTTGCTGCAAGCAATGAAGTAGTGAGATGCTTTTCTTTAATTGCCCTTTTTGGAATTTGTACGAAAGTATGGTACACAACTAAAAGCTTGCCAGTCTGGAATCACTGAGGATATGAGACAAAAACCCTTCCAGAAATGCGTCCAGACTGATCTGAGATGTAAAGCAAGAAGAGCACTAGACAGGGATCTGATTTTTGCCTGGCCTCTGCCACTGATTCACTGCAATGCTTTCTGCAAATCATTTATTGTGCATCAATGTGCTCATTGATGGGGGAAAACCAGTGTTTATTTCCTTTCATAGAGTTGTCCTGAGTCTTACTAACCACCGCTTGTGCAAATCTTCGGATGAAAGGAATCATAAGAGTTCTAAGCTCTTAATGTATATTACTTATTGTACTTTAAAACAAATGTCATCACACTAGGTAGGAATTAACATTCCAAAGCCCGTGGGGTGGGTACCTTTTCATACACATATATATAAAAGTCATCAAGTGACCTGCCTCAGAGGAAGGCTGATTGAAGACAGGTGAGTCTGAATTCACTTATAGAATATTTATTTAGAGCCAGAAGCTTTGATTTTGCTTTGATTTAGCATTTTGTCAATATTGTGATTGTTACATTCTTTTGACTTAAGGCCTGTGGTGATTTTTGTGATGGGAGGGGGAAAAAAAGACTGATAACTTAAAGCTTTATAATACGGCAATTTTCTGCATGTGGAAACAGCTACACCCTGTGGCTTTTGATGGGGCCCCATATGGATTTGCCATTGAATGAATAGGTATTGGGTCAAGCTTTATTGATCCAGGCTTGCAAATACTCACTCCTTGAGCGCAATCTGAGCTACTGGGTGTACCCAACTCCAGCCGGGGGTGTTTGTTGGCCTGAATAAGCTCACTCAGGACAAGGGAGTCTTTCCAATGACACTGGTGGACTATTTGTGTTTGTGCATCCATGCAGTTTGGTTTGCAGTAGAAATACAGACTAGAGAAAAGGTCACACATTATTAAAATCAATACGGCATTTTCAAGTGTTAATAGCATTGCATGATGATTGCCTACAAGACTTGTGGTGTGTTTTGTATACGAAGCCCTCTTGGGGAAAAAGAAACATTTGTAAGCCATAAAAAATGCTCAGTTTAAATGCACTCACAGGCAAGTACAGTCAATGTTTTTTCCAGTTGGTGGCTACTATCGGATGACATTTGGAGATTTTATTAATAAGTACAGCAGACACATTTATTACTAAAGTGATTATCTGCCATTATCACAGGCAGGAATTAATGCGGCAGTGTTATTTCACCAGCAAAATCTTTGCCTTGTGTGCTTTTAGCAGAGAGGGTCATATTGCTTGATTTTTGAAAACTCACTTTTCCAAAGCCGAGCAAGAATTCCACTGTCTTTTGAAGAGAGAGACAAAGGAGGCATGCGCTCCGTAGCACATTAGACTTCAAACACCTACATAATTAAAGCAAAGGCACTGTACTGTCTCATCATAAAGACATGCTACATGTGTTCAGGAGGGGCCATGTGAGCAAACAATATGAAGTGACAGCAGTTGAAAAATCCCTGCTGGCCCAGGCTGCCGACGGGGCCCTCCCGTCTCCTGAGCTCCCCAGGCTCAGCCCCTCTGTCTTGATGCGATGGTGTAGTGGCACACAAGATGGAGGAGACATTCAGCCACGGGAGAAGCCCATATCCCCCAAACAAGGAGGAAATAAGGAGCAGATGGGGCTCCCATCACTTGCTTCTCCTCCCACCACCACTCACTGAAGCTGATGGCTGCATCCCGTGCCAGGGGTGAGGGGGGAAGCATGCTGCGGGGAGGGTGCCTCCATTCCTCAGCTAATACCACCCCTATCTGGAGCCTTGGGGTTGGAGCTTTTGGCACGCAAACTTTACTACGGGGCTGTTGAAAATCAGTACTGATTTCTTCACATTTTGCAAACTTGTGTGTTTCCAGGTCTGCCGGGGCAGCTGAGGAGAGAGCCATCACCATGATACCTGCACTGCTCTTGCTGGGCCTTACGGCCCTTGTCGGTGAGCCAGGGTTTGGGTTTGGTTTGCTGTCGAAAGCCCCCTGGGAATGGTTTGCAGAGGGACTGTGGAGAGGAGGCGTGTGGTCGGGCCTGAGGTCCCCTTTCTCCTCCCCCTCTACTCTGCCCTGGTGAGACCCCACGTGGAGTACTGTGTCCAGCTCTGGGCTCCCCAGTTGAAGAAAGATGAGGAACTCCTAGAAAGAGTCCAGAGGAGAGCAACTAGGATGATAAAGGGGCTGGAGCATCTCCCCTATGAGGAAAGGCTGAGAGAGTTGGGCTTGTTCAGCCTGAAGAAGAGAAGACTGAGAGGGGACCTCATCAATACATACAAATATCTTAAGGGTGGAAGTCACGAGGACGGAGCCAGACTCTTCTCAGTGGTGCCCAGTGACAGGACAAGGGGTAATGGGTACAAACTGAAACATAAGAGGTTTCAGTTGAATATGAGGAAGAACTTCTTTACTCTGAGGGTGACGGAGCATTGGAACAGGCTGCCCAGGGAGGTTGTGGAGTCTCCTTCTCTGGAGATATTCAAAGCCCGCCTGGATGAAGTCCTGTGTAGCATGCTTTAGGAGAACCTGCTTTAGCAGGAGGGTTGGACTAGATGATCTCCCGAGGTCCCTTCCAACCCTTGCGATTCCGTGATTCTTCTGCGGAGCACTATAAAACCTGGTGTGGCTGAAGGTCCTCGGCTGCCCTTTGAGGCTGCTTGCCGCCCACCAACGTCCTTTAAACCAGCACGCTGGGAGCACAGAACTGACACCAAAAGGCAGTCACAGGCATACCTCCTCTTGATTTTCTCTGCCTACTCAGAAATGGTCTCACAAATGTCGCAGGCTGTTTGATGGAGGCTCTTCATTCCTCAGTTTCTGAGGAAGCAGGGCAATTTGCCCAGGCTGAGGCAAGCACTCTCCTGAATTAATTCCTCAACAAGTTGCAGAGGGATACAGGAGACGTTTCCAGCCAGGGTGCTCAGGTACCACCAGCTGTCATTTGAGGGGGCGTGGACATTGGAGGGCACTGAATGGGAAAAACCCTCTGAAATAACTGCAGATACTGTTGTTCCCCTCTGCCAAACCAACCTTTAGACCTAATGGGGCAGACACCTGTTCATGTAAATTGTCACCAGTTTCACTTGCTTCAACCTACCAAATTAGAAACGAACAAATTTCTATTCTCTAGCTTTCTTTGATGACATTACTGCTGGAGAGCAGGGGCAATGATACAGGAGTGGCCAACACCAGCTGATGTGGGTTACGGGTCTGGATGAATCTGTCACGCCTGACTTGTGCTCACTTGCAGCACATGGTACAATTTTGCTCTGAGATCTTACATGTTCAAACACCTCTGTTCAATTTTTCAGTTCCATCCATGAGTTACAGTTGCTATGGTGATATAAGTGCTCTTCAAGCCCCCATGATCTCCTGTACAGCCGTAAGAGCCCCAGACTGTGGTAGGTATCATTCATTCCTTGACTTGTCAAACTGTTTGTACCTGACAGGGAGATGCTTCACCTTCCATTATCGCCAAATTAAATGGGGTGCAGCTATTCAATTAGCCAAAAGGGAGAAAGCAACACCTCCTCCCCCAAAATGGCAGGTGCTGCAAAGCCTCCAGACGTGGTGGGAAGCAGCAAGGAGAAACCTCAGATCCCACAGTCAGGATCCTCAACCAAAGGGAAATGGCGCAACCCCTTTTCAGTCAAAATGGCTTTTTCATCAGCCAGGCCTTTAGTATCAGCATCCTCACAAAACCCCAGGGCCTCTCAGCTCGATGGGGAAGACGCACAGAGCCTGGTCCTCAGTGCTGGCACGTTGGCTGATCTAGCCAGTGGTGACCTGCCAGAGACACATTTTACAGGTCCCAAGTTTGTAGCCATCGTACCTCTGGGTGCCTCGTTTTGGTAACTCCTTCCCATTTCTCTCTTTCTTGCCTTGTGTTATTGTTCCATGCCACTGCACAGTTGACTATGTCAGATTCATATTGCTGAGGCCTCCGGGGACTGTAAGGGGCTTTGCCACATTCTCGGACGTAGGTGCCTTAGACACCCGATTGCGAGTGTCCAAGAATGGAACTTGAATCCATTTGCTTGTTTCCAAACAGTTCCAAAAAACCCCCCACCTTTCTATACACAGACTGACAAGGTAGCTGTTACTGCAGTTTGGCCGGTCAGTAGTAACACACCTCACTTTTTTCAAATGCAATTTGAGATTTCACTTTTCTGACTCCAGAGACATATTTCCAGCAGTGTGGCAGCAGAAAAGCACATGAAACGCACAGCCCCAGCTCCTGAGAAGCTGCCCTCTTCCCCTGGTCATCCTCGTGTACCGGCCGGCAGCTCCCTGGCCACAGTCAGAGCCGATAGATAGAGCTGTGCTTGTTCCTCAAGTGCCACTGCCCAATTCGGTGTAACTGCATTCTCCTCAAGGAGAAAGTGAGGGGTTTGGATGGGAGGGTGTGTAAGTCTGCCTTTTTATATGCCGCAGGACTTGCCATGTTACGGAGATCTGCTGAGGCAGACATCATACGCCTGAGGAGATATGAGATCCCAATTAAGAGAGTAGCCAGAAACCTGTGCTTGGACCCAGCGCTCATCGCTGCCATCATCTCGCAGGAGAGCCGCGTCGGCCAGCTCCTGAACAACGGCTGGGACCAGACTCGGCGCAAGTATGGCTTGATGCAGGTACATCAAGGCGATAAGTATGAGTAACAGAACAGTAATGGAGTGTATATCCCAAGGCTTTACTTCAGCAAATGACTGTTCTGCATTCAAGACAGTGCTTAAATGCATCCTCTCTACATCAAAGGTTGTGCTTAAGTGTTATCTCGAGTAAGGTCACTTCCATGAGTCACAGCCTGGGAGCACAAAGAAGAGGGGGAAGCTACAGTGGTGGTTATGTTCAGAAGGAAACCCATTTTCTTGCTTGACTTTTCTAGCTTGGCAGGCAGCTACAGCAACCTTTTGGATCATGGGATAGTGAAGAACACATAAATCAGTGCTCAACTATCCTGGTTCGTGCAATTAATGAAGTACAGGCAAACCATCCTACCTGGACCTGGGACCAGCAGCTGAGAGGTATGCGATGGGCTACACACTAGAAAGGGGCACGCTGAGCAATGAGAGTGCTGTGCATTTGTTGGTGTCACTTTTAAGGGAAGAAGTGCATCAGCCTGGCAGATCTGGCAGCATCTCTTACCAAAAAAAAAAACCCCAACCCCAGAGTTTTCTAGTTTAAAAGAGGCAATCCCAAAACAGCAGACCAGCAAGAGGTTTGAATATAGATGCAAGCCTCCCAGCTGTCCATAGGGCCTCCATGTTTCTGCCTGCAGAAGAGAGACTGTGGTGGGACGCCAAGCTCCTTGGGTGGCTTTGCTGCAGTAGGAAGAAGTGGGAAACCAGCCCAGCCTGGAAGCTGCTGCAGCGACATGGAAGCATCCCATGCAGGGCTGGGCGAAGGTGTCGGGCACAGCCTTGGCAGGTTGCCCCTTGACTTCTGTGACAAATGCCCACAGTGGGCCACTACACTGAGTGGCTGGGCCACCACTGGTGAACAGACAGATCCAGGACCTCCTTAAGTTCCCTGGGAAAGGCCTTGTGCTCAGTGAACAAGGCCTTGTGCTCAGTGAACGTGGGCAGGTCTCAAGTTATCCTCTTATCTGTTTATCCTACAAATGAAATGGCTGTCAGGTGGATAAATAAAGTAGAAACCAAGCAAAAAAAGCCACCAGGGAAGGTAGAAATTGAGGCACTGCAACACAACAGGCTTATCATGGCAGGTTATGTTGCTTGTGTCAAGAAAGCTTGGGATCCAGGTTTGCTTGTAGTCCCTGTTACCTGCCTGCTGGTTTGTTCACCCTTATGTTATTTCTTGCTCTCCCATCCTTGCCTTTTTAGGTTACACCCTTTTCTGGGATTAGCATGCCATTCCCACCTGCATTTGGAGAGAGTCATGGGTTCCTTCACTATAGAAATAAGGTTTATGCAAAATCAGTCACTTTTTGACAATAATGCACAGCTAGTAATTTCCCAAGCAGTTGTGTAGGTTTGGTGAAATGCATGGCCCTTTTGGCTAGGAATTTTTACTTCTAAATTTCTATTTCTTACTTACAAGCCCATAACAACTCCTTCTTAACTCTTTCCAGGGGGAATCTGCACCTACCATGCAAAAATGGGCAACATCAATGTTTATGAGGAAGACCCATGCAATGGAGACGACTACTACACCGCTAATGTGATTAGGCGAGCCCAGTTCTTTAAGAGACATGGGTTCTAGCCCATAAACCTGCCCCGCCACCAAGCCTCTCCTCTGCATAGACTAGCCCAGTAGTGATCGTAGTACCCAGAGCAGTTCCTCAGGATTCCTGTCAGGACCGATGCCGGTGGCACTGGCACCAGCACCTCGCTCTCTCTGGCAAACCCCAGCTCCCTGCTCACCGATGGACAAGCTCAATGCTGCCTTCCAGGGGACCTGCAGGGATGAGAAACCACAAGCTCAAGACCTTTGAAAGGCAGATGGGGACAGACCAGCAATGTTTAAGTGTTGAGTGAGGAAGGTGCCTCTTCTCATTCGAGCTGAACCCAGGGCTGTTCGTGCATCCTGCAGGTGCAGGCATGCAAAGCAGCTCTCCCTGGGCATCAGCTGTGCTCTTCCCATCTCCTCCATCCATCTCCTTCCCTCTCTCTGGCCAATGAGGGGGAGAAGCCTCTGAGTTGAAATCTCCTTTCCCTTCGATTGTGCTAGCTACTGAGCAATGAAGAGACTTCTCAACAAGCCTCTGGCCGCTGCATGTTTCTGCACTGGCTGTGTATTCCCATGGCCAGTCTTGGTGGGGACAACACTAAACACGCTTCTGTTAGTCCCCCAAGCCATGGAGCCCATGGCCATGGTGGGGCTGGAGACCTCTCCTGGTT